TTATCCTCTGCGGCGGGTGGATCCAGGCAAACCTTAGGGGTAGGCAACATAATAGGCAGTCTGGAGTCCCCTACCTTATCCCCTGCTAAATCATTACCAACTATTACATCAACATTAGGGAAAGGTAGGTATGAAGTGACTCCGACTGTACAAACACCCTTGTGGAAATCAGATTCCAGGGTAACCTTATGGAGGGGTACTGCTCGAGTATCACTAGTGACACCCTCGACCAGTACCACCTCTCCAGTGTCGAGAGTGTTGGCACCTTGCAACGCACTCTCTAAAATTAAGGTCTGGATGGCACCGGTGTCTCGGAAGATCACCACGTCCTTCCAGGAAGAACCCTCAGACAAAAGTAGTCTCCCTTTCGATAAGAATGGGGTAAGCAAGTCCAACCACTGTGGGTTGGAGGTCTTACTCCTTAACCCTTCCGAAGGCCTCAAGCCCTGTGTCACAACTAGAGCATTGGGTCTTTTTTCCGGGTACAGTTGCCAACAACGGCTAATATTGTGGTTTGAACGATTACAGTGACCACAAAAACGTCGGGGAGAAGAGACATTACTAACAGAATTACCCTTCGGTTCACCCTTAGGTGCCGTGGGGCTAGACACTTTAACAGGGTTAGTTATGTCTGAAACAGAAGGTGCATTAGGTAAAGGGTTAGAATGAGCTGGTCTGGACTGGCTGTGGGTATAAGTTTTGCTACTCTGTGGGGTATAATTATTTTTATTGGGCCTTTTGCCCGCCAATTGGTAGTTTTCTGCCAACTTGGCCAAATCCCCTATTTTAGAATTTACCTCTACCCTTCCTCTAATGTAATTTGAAACATTCTCTGGCATAATATCTATAAAATGCTCCATTAAAATTAAGTTCCTGAGAGCCTCGTATGTTTCGGCTTTCGCCGAGCGAATCCATCTATCAAACAATCTAATTTGATCACTAACAAATTCAGTGAGCGGTTGGTTGTGAGTAGGCCTAAGGTTGCGATAATCTTGGCGGTGAGCTTCAGGAGTAATTTCATATGCCCGCAAAATACATTCCCTGACTTTATCATATTCGAAACACTCGTCGTCAGGCATGTTTATAAAAATATCTTGTGCTTTACCCCTAAGTCTTCCCTGTAGGATTTTCACCCACTCTTCCTTTGGCCAGTTCATGGACATGGCCAATCTCTGAAAATGGTTGAAAAACCTTTCAGGGTCTGACTCGGAAAATTCAGGCAAATTATGCTTTTTCTCATAATGCCTGGGGTTTGAATCCCCGGCAGGTGGAGGTCCAGTGGCATTCGCTCTAATTCTAGCCTCCTCGGTTTTGAGTCTTTGCTCCTCTAATTTTATTCTTGCTAACTCTAGAGCTAATTCTCTATCCTTATGAGCTGCACTTTCTGCTTGGCTAGGCTGGCATAAAGGTGTATCACTTGCCAATAGTTCTTCATCAATACAATGTTGTAATATTTCATTCACCAAAGTCCACTTTTTATCCGCGTCATTTAATTCTAGGCCAAATTCCTTGCCTAACAATACTAAATTAGACTTTATAAGTCTCTTTATTTCTACTGCTGAAGGCTCCCCTGCCAGTCTCTGCATTTCAGATGACATCACTAATAATTTTAGCTCCCAGCCAAAGAAAAAATTAAAAAAATAAAAATTGGAAAAAAACAAAAATTTGCACGGCCCCTAACACAAGGCCACACTAACATTAATCGTGAAGGGATCCAGCTGGGTGTCCAGTCAGTGCAAGAATGTCCTTTGCTAGATGAGCTGGACCCTAGGCTAGCACACAACCGTTCTGCGGAAAACAAAAAATTTTAATTTTGGCACTCAAGAATCTAATTTTTTACACTTATAATGTTCCTCCCGGACTGGCCAACCACTTGTTATAAATAAAGTGTGTGGTGCTTCTATGGTGAACTGGTACTATTAAGGGGTAAGGGTAGTTAGAAGACAGAGTATCAAATATGGGAGAGCTAAAAGGCCCGGCCCCCAAAATAAATTATCCACAGTAGTAATAACTTGCTACTAGACCATATATGTTAGTCTAAGGGTTGATCAATGCGCTCCCACACAGGAAGAAGGGATACTCTGTAATTCATGTACTTATTTATTAACCCCTTAACAACCCCCCATATACACTCACACCAATAACAATAATAATAATAACTTTACCACACTATCTTACGTTAAAAAGCCTTGGTCCATGTAGGCAGGATACAAGGTTTACACTAATAACAAGCTAGGGTAAAGTACTACTGGATTAGCACTGAAGCTGGATGCAGCTTAGGGTAGGGAAACCACGTGGGACCCTAATACAAAACACAACACTTAGGGGTACCCAAAACACTGGCAAATACTACCCCCAGGTCTCACCAATCGTTACTACCAGAGTAGGTACACTTAATAATGCCCCGTACTTAACTTAAGGGTACAGGAACTTCAGGTAAGGGAAATAAGTAAGAGGAGAAGGGAGAAGAGTAGGGGTGCAGCCACAGAGTAGGTCTCGTCCGCACGAACGCCAGCCAGAGAAGGACCTCCTAGCGACCAGCTAGGCCTCCCATGTCGTGGTGCCGGAAGGAGCCTAATTGATCGTGCAGCTAAGCACATTTAAGATCTTCCCCTATGCAACGTATTGTTACTTTACAAATGATTAGAAAGTATTAGTAAGCAAAGTTGGTGCCTATGTTATTATTTAATAATCAACCCCCAGCTCAGTCTTTAAATGCTCTTTGAGAAACAATAATAGTCTTACGTCTGGCAGGGAAGATACAAACAATTGCCGTTCGAGATGCACTCAACTGTACTACCAGAAAGTTTAATAGCTCAATTTTGACTTCTGGTTTCCACTGGAGAACCCAGGGTCGTAACACCCTCCCGAGTTGTGTCTGCAAACTCTTTGAACGTATGGTTAACGTTCGTTTGATGTGGTTCTTAGAACACTATCGCCACCTCTCCCCTTCTCAATTTGGTTTCCGCAAGTGCTGCAGCACAAGAGATGTCCTGGTGAACTTAGAGGTCTATATTCGTACTGCTTTTGCTGCAAAGACCTGCGTTGTTACCATCCTTTTTGACCTGGCAAAGGCTTACAACATCACTTGGCAATATCATATTCTGTCCCAACTTCATTCTTTTGGCCTTCGTGGTAATCTCCCTCTCTTCCTCCAAAGCTTTCTCGTCGTTCCTTTCGAGTGAGGCTTGGTACCACTCTCTCTCTGCCTCTTTTCAGCAATACGGTGTGCCCCAGGGTAGTGTTCTGAGCACTACTCTTTTCTGGTTGCCCTCAATGGTCCTCTTTCCTCTCTTCCTTCTGGTGTCTTCTCCGCTCTCTATGTCGATGATCTTACCCTTTGCTCTTGGGGTGATGACTCGCCTCTCCTTCAACAGCGGCTTCAACTTGCGAATGATGCCGTGTCGTCTTGGGCCACCGATCATGGCTTCGGGTTCTCTATGCCTAAGACTTGTGCTATGACTTTTACTTATAGCGTGTCGGTCTTCGTCTTTCTTTGTCGCTTTATGGTCACCCAATTGAGTACAAAGTACAAGGATTCCGGTAAGCATTTGAGGTTGCTTTTTTACACTCGTTTGCTTCTCCTTCTACTCTTTGCCGTCTTGATGCTTTGCACCATACTAGGTTGTGCCTCAGCTCTGGTGCCTTTCGTTCGACTCCCATCCTCAGCTAGTATATTGACACTGGCTTCCTATCTCTCCAGGACCGCCGTGATCGTTACTGTCTTCGCTATCTTGCGCGGTCCTTGCAACATCCTTCCTCTCGCCTCTGTCGTGCTTAAACTTTTACCCCTCCTGTGGTTCCTGTTCCTCTTCACCACCTCCCTTTTTCTGTCCGGTTATCTCGCTTACAGGATTCTCTTTCAGTTCGTATCTCTAATATTTCTCCTCGTGTTGTTCCTTCCTTGCCCCCATGGATGGTCCCACTTCTGCAGTTTTGTACATCCTTAACCCGCATCACTAAAGCTTTTACCTTTCCTACGATTCTGAAACGCCTTTTCCTTCAGCACTTTTCTTCTCACTCCCGCTCCGTTTCCATTTGCACCGATGGGGCTAAGTCTGGGGATGGTGTAGGCTACTCTGTTGTTTTTCCTGACAGCACTTATATGTGTCGCTTACCTCCGGAGACTAGCATCTTCACAGCGGAACTTTATGCTATTCTCTATGCTCTTCGTCTCCTGCTTTCTCATTGTCAATCTTCCTTTGTAGTTGTTGTTGACTCTCATAGTGCCCTCATGGCTCTCGGGTCCTTTAATCCGGTTCATCCAGTGCTTGTTGAGATTCAGCATTGGCTGTTTCTTATTCACAGTAAATTTAAGTCAATTGAGTTTTGCTGGGTTCCCAGCCATATTGGTGTCTCTTTAAATGAGCATGCGGATGCTGCTGCTAGGGAAGCTGTCCGCTCTTGTCCCATCTCTCGTAAAGGTATTCCTTATTCCGACTTTTACCCAGTTATTCATTCCTCCACCCTTACCCGTTGGCAGGGTTGTTGGTCTTCTGTTACTGGTAGCAAACTGCGTACTATTAAGAGTTGTGTGTCCTCATTGCCGTCCTCCTACCACCATAACTGGCGATGGGAAACGGCTCTGGCGAGGTTGCCATACTCGCTTAACTCACGGTCACTTAATTTAGAACTGCCCTGCTCCTTATTGTCCACACTGCATTGTCCCTCTTATGATCGTGCATATCCTTGTTGAATGTCCTGACTTCCAAGATAAGCATGTTTTGCTTTCCGACTGTCCCTTGTGGTCATTTGTCCCTCAATAAATCCTTGGTGAATCGGATACTTTTGATATCGTTTGCCTTATGCTCTTCTGTTCTCGTATTGGCATCCTTGGTGATATTTAGCGCCCTCTGATTATTCCGCACATTTGATGGTGCTACATAGCCTTCCCGGTTTGGTGCCTTCTTTTGATAATTACTTACTTATTAAATTATATTTTGTCTCCATCAGAAACCTGGGATGATATGACCTGTACTATATTAGCATCATATTTTCAGGTTGTGCGAGACTTGGATCCTAAAGAATATGGAGAGTTTCTTAAGGAACGCATAGAAGTTGTTGAGGAACAGCTAAAGGAATTAAAAGAGTTAAAAGAAGCTAAATTACTCAGAAAATAGCTACTATATGTAAAGCTGTTATATGAAGTAAATATAAAGTTATTAGTCTAACATTACTGCATTTCTGTGTTTTGGTCCTTTTCTAATCTTTCATTTCATGTGTACATATAACCAAGCTTAATTTAATTTATGCAAATTCTAATAAATGTATCGTAGCTTAAATCTTATCTTAGTATATTGGTCCTTTGATATGATGCCATGTCATTTAGGGTAACCAATTCATTATTTTCAACAATTTAAATTGTGATTATTGTTTGTTATTGTACATAAATATCTGCATGTGAGTGAACAACGTTCAGTACAAATAAATTTTAAATAAAATAATTTCAGATTTCTTTACATACTTTATTTGAAACAGGGGCTTAACACTTTCGGTACCTGATCATGTATATTTTGTCATAAAACCAACATAAGCAGAGTGCGGGATGACGCAAACGACATCAATACAGAGGTACCTCAGTTTTCAAATTTAATTCATTCCCAGAGACGGTACGAAAACCGAAATAAATTTTCCTGTAAGAAATAATATAAATTTAATCCGTTCCACACCCTCAAATATATTAACTAAAACATACATTTTATACAATACTCTTAGGTATCTTACCTCTATTGAGGACTCTTGTTGGCATATGGAAGACAGAAAGGCGGGAGGAGGTGAGGTGTTAGTGTTTGGAGTTTGAGTCCCTCTTCTATTATTACAGTAGTGATGACATTTCTGAAGTACTCTCTTACCTTTTGCAAGCATACCACTAGGTCCTGGTTGTAAGTGCTTGCTTGATTTACTAAGAATCTGTATATAGACACTGGTTTTTTCCTACGTTTTAACATTTGTGTGTAGTGAGACATCACATTCTCACTATGAATGATCTCTTGCTTTTCCTCTATCGTCATCCTCACAACTTTTTTCTTTTCTTCTTAACATTACCACTGACTTTCTTGGAACCCATGACATGTTATATAGTAAGAACTTTTATGTTCCGAAACCAAAAATCACAAGTAAGTAATTATCAAAAGAAGGCAGCAAACCAGGAAGGCAATGTAGCACCATCGAATGTGCGGAATAATCAGAGGGCACTAAATATCACCAAGGATGCCAGTACGAGAACAGAAACGTGTAAGGTGAATGATATTAAAAGTATCCGATTCACCAAGAATTCTATCGAGGGACAAGCGACTGCGAGGGACGGTCGGAAAGCAAGACACACGCTCGTCCTGGAAGTCAGGACATTCAACAAGGATATGCAGGACTAAGAGGGACAATACAATTTGGACAATAAGGAGCAGGGCGGCGCTCCATTAAGTGACTGAGTTAAGCATGTATGGTCAATACGCAACCTCACCAGAGCCGTTTCCCATCGCCGGTTACTGTGGTAGGAGGAAGGCCATGAGGACACACTACCCTTAAGAGTACACAATTTGTTACCAGTAACAGAAGACCAACAATTCTGCTACCGGGTAAGGATGGAGGAATGAATAATTGGGTAAAAGTCAGAATAAGTAATATCTTTACGAGAGATGGGACAAGAGCGGACAGCTTCCCTAGCGGAAGCGTTCCGCACCCTCATTTAAAGAAAAACCAATATGGCTGGAAACCCAGCAAAACTCAACTGACTTAAATTTACTGCAAATGAGAAACGCCAATGTTGAATCTCAACGACCACTGGATGGACCGGATTTAAGGACCCGAGAGTCATGAGGGCACTACGAGAGTCAACGACAACCACAAAGGAAGATTGACAACGAGAAAGCAGGAGACGAAGAGCATAGAGAATAGTATAAAGTTCTGCTGTGAAGGTGTTAGTCTCCGGAGGAAGGCGACATATAAGTGCATTCAGAAAAAACAACGGAGTAGCCTACACCGTCTGCAGACTTAGACCCATCAGTGAAGACGGAAACAGAGCAGGAGTGTGAAGAAAAGTGCTCAAGGAAAAGGTGTTTCAGAATTGTAGGAGGGGTAAAGGCTTTAGTGATGCGGGTCAAGGAAGAACAAAATTTTGGAAGGGGCACTCGCCACGGGGGCAAGGAAGGAACAACACAAGGAGAAATATTAGAAATACGAACCGAAAGAGAATCCTGTAAGCGAGATAACCGGAGCGAAAGAGGGAGGTGAAGAGGAACAGGAACTACTGGAGGGGTAAAAGTCAAAGCACGACAGAGGCGAAAGGAAGGATGTTCAAGGACCTCACAAGATAGCGAAGACAGTAGCGATCACGGCGGTCCCGAAGAGATAGGAAGTCAGTGTCAACATACGAGCTGAGCGTGGGAGTCAAACGAAAGGCACCAGAGCTGAGGCGCAACCCAGTATGGTCCAAAGCATCAAGCTGGCAAAGAGCTGAAGCAGACGAGTAAGCAGGGCAACCATAATCGAGTTTAGCCAGGACGACAGAGGAATGTAAAGTGAGGAGAGTGCTCCTCTCCGCTCACCAAGAAGTACGGGATAAAACCTGAAGGAGGGTAAGGGCCTTAGAGTATTCAACTCTGGGATAAGAGATATGGGGCACCATGACAAACGAGTGTCAAGATTAACCAAAAGCTTAGCGGAATCCTTGTGCTCAAGGGGATGACCATAGAGCGACAGAGAGGGACGAAGAATGACATGCTTCTGAGTAAAAGTCATAGCACAAGTCTTTGACATAGAGCACTGGAAGCCATGACCGGTGGCCCAAGACGACACGGCATCAATCACAAGTTGAAGCCGCCGTTACAAGAGAGGCGAGTCTTCGACCCAACAGCAAAAGGTAAGATCGTTGACATAGAGTGGAGAAAACGCCAGAAGGAAGGGAGGAAAGAAGACCAGTGAGGGCAACTAGAAAAAAAAAAAAAAAAAGAGTAGTGCTCAGAACACTACCTTGGGGTACACCCATATATTGCCGAAAAGGGACAGAGAGAGTGGTACGAAGCCTCGCTGAAAGGGATGACGAGAGAGGAAGCTTTGTAGAAAATGAGGGAGATTACTACGAAGGCCAAAAGAATGAAGTTGGGACAGACTATGATATCTCCAGGTAGTGTCGTAAGCCTTTTCCAGGTCAAAAAGGACGACAACAATGGAGGTCTTTGCAGCAAAAGCAGTACGAATATAGACCTCCAAGTTCACCAGGACATCTGTTGTGCTGTGGCATTTACGAAAACCAAATTGAGAAGGTGAGAGGTGGTGATAGTGCTCCATGAACCATATCAGATGAACGTTAACCATACGTTCAAAGAGTTTGCAGACACAACTTGTGAGGGCAATAGGGCGAAAGTCCTTGGGGGATGTTTCAAGAGACTCTGGTTTCTGAACAAGGTCAACAGCATCGAGCCTGTCCTTAGGGACTGACGGCGACTCCCAGACCCGATTATACAGACAAAGTAAATACTGAGACGTGCACGGAGGGAGACGGCGAAGCATCTCATAATGAATACCATCGGAGCCTGCCACCTTAGAACCGCAGAGGGCCAGGGCAGACTGAAGTACAGAGAGAGAGAAGAGATCGTTATAGGGAAGTCTGAGATTCAAGAACAGGCTTATGAAGAAGGAAAGATTGAGAAAGATGAGAACCAGAGCTAACAGAATAAAAGTGGGAACCCAGGTCGGTCATGACCTGCAACGGGCCCGCCACAAGAGTACCACGGAGGTGAAGGACCGGCGAGACATCGGGGAGCAAACTTACCCGCAATCTTGTGGATACGCTTCCAGATCTGCGGCAGAGGAGTTTCGGACATAATGGTGGAAACGTGACACTTCCAACACTCATGCTTACCTGTACGGATGGTTCAACAGGCCACCGCACTCGCCTTCCGAAACAAAAGAAAAGAATTAGCCGTCTGCCGGCGGCGGTGTCTCTTCCAGGCTGTACTCTTACAGTGGACAGCCCGAGCACAATCCACATTCCACCAGGGAATGCACATCTGCATTCCCCAAGAGGAAGAGCGGAGGGCAGCATCGAAGATGGTGTCATGAAAAATGAAGAGGGTGTGATTGAGAGGCAGAATGGAAAGGCCAGAGAGAGCAGCACAGAGGGTAAATAGGTTCCAGTCTGCCTTGGCAAACTGCCACCTAGTGAAGGAGAGGGGAGGGTAAAAAAGAGAAAAAGGTAACAAGGATGGGGAAATGGTAAAAGCCATGGAGGTCATCAAGAACCCGCCACGTGAAATCCAAGTAAAGAGACGGCGAGCAAAGAGAAAGATCAAGACAGGAAAGGGTGCAAGTCCGAGAGTCCAAATGAGTGGGCCCATCAAAATTTAGAAGAGACAGGGAAGAAGAGAGGATGAACGGTTCGAGAAGGCGACCCCGGGTGTTTGTCAGAACATCACCCCAGAGGGAATGTCGACAATTAAAATCACCCAGCAGGAGCACAGGCTCTGGCAGGGAGTGGATGTGTTTAAGATCGGGAAGAGAAAGCGGAATATTTGGAGGGATATAAAGGGAACAAACTGTGTACCATTTACACTAAAAGACACGTGCAGCTGAACATTGGAGATTCGACGGAAAAAGCAGGGGGACGAAGGGAACATCAGAATGAATCAAGAGAGTAGAGCTATGGACCCCAGCAAAAGCTGGGGAGGGGGGGGGATAGAAAGGAATAGCCACGGAAGCGACCAGGACAAGCACCAAGCATCGGCTCCTGGAGACCGAAACAAAGGGGCAAAAACTGTGAAATCAGAAGTTGGAGTTCATTGAAATTGGCATAATAACCACAAATATTCCATTGAAGAATAGACATCAACAAAAAGAGAAAGGACAGTGTCACGGTAAAATCTCTAGGAAGAGATTCGGCCTACTCCATTATCGCCTATTCTTCTCATTCACGTCTGTGTAATAAAGAACTGCAGCCAAGAACAACAACTACTTCCAGACATCTAGACAATACCACCAGTCTACCAGTCCCCCTCCTGCACCATGGCCCGTCAGCCCACCTCGCACCTGGGTCGCTGAGAGGCCACGCCCTCCTTAACAAGCAGTTAAAGGAGCCAGTTCATAGTTTAAAGAAGACATCAACGCCCTCTGCTCGGCCGATATTTTGTATATATAGGGCTACCAAGCTCTCTAAGATTCAAATTACTCCTGAGTGCTCTCGCTGAGTAGACCTGTTGACACATCTCGGTGTGGTAACAGAACTATTTAGTTTGACTCACAGTACTCCGCACCATATTTTATTTTGCACCTTAATGTAACGTAAATTTGATTATTCATCCAGTTTGTTTTGCACATTTTGTATTAAAGCCAAGCCTGGATATTTTTTGTAATTTGTTTAATTTATTTTTAAAGTAAAGTATTTTTAAATGTTTTTTCCCTCTGCTTTATCCTACAGTTTACCACACTGTGAAGACACCTTTTGCAGTTT